GGATCCTGCTGTGCAGCCGCACCAGCAGGTGACGAGCCCGACTGCTGCGGCGAACCGATGGACGGCGACGGTGATCCCGAAGGAGACGCAGTGGAATGTGCCAGCGCAGGCGTGCCAGTGCTGTTGTTTTGCGCCGGGTACATGAAATAAGGCCTGGAAAGACCGTTTTCAACTCCAGTTGCTGCCGAATCGGAACCTGCAGAATTCTGGACATCACAAGACCTTGGCACAGTATTAGTAGGTAGAGAATTAATCAATGTTTGATCATGTAGTGTTGCATCCCCAAAAGATGAACTCGGATTTTTTAGGACGTCAGGTAAGAGGGAGAGTTCGGCTCGAAGTCGAGCCCCAGCATTCGGATGAAGCTGAGAGAAAGGAAAAACACTCTCATCAAAAGTGACATCTCTTGAAATGTAGATTCTCCCCTCAGAGGGATCCAAGCATTTGAATCCCTTGTGCAAGTTACTATAGCCAAGAAAAACACAACGTTTGGACCGAAATTGAAGTTTCCTTGAATTGTACGGCCTAAGGTTCGGCCATACAGCACAGCCAAAGGATCTGAGGAAGTTGTAATCGGGTGGAGAGCCATGTAGGCGTTCATAGGGTGTGACATTCTGTAAAATTTTGGAGGGAAGCCTATTGATAAGAAATACGGCAGTCAGAAAGGATTCATCCCAAAATTTAAGTGGCATAGATGCATGTGCCAGCAAAGATAACCCTACTTCAACAATATGTCGATGTTTGCACTCGGCAGAGCCATTTTGTTGATGGGCGTGAGGACATGAAACATGATGGGAAATGCCAAGATGCTTGAAGAAAGTGTTGAGGGTTTGATACTCTCCACCCCAATCGGATTGTACAGCAAGAATTTTTCGATCAAATTGACGTTCGACCATACTTTGGAAATCACGAAAACATTGGAACACTTCTGACTTATAACGCAAAAGGTAGATCCAAGTAAACTTGCTGAAATCATCTATGAAACTCACATAATAATTATGCCGGCCAACAGAGGTAGGAGCCGGTCCCCAAACGTCTGAAAACAAGAGTTCAAATGGACTTGACGAAACACTGGATGACTTGGGATAGGGCAACTGGTGACTTTTGCCCTTTTGACAAGCATCACACACTACATTATGACTAGACTCTTTAACAAAAGGTAACTTGTGACGGCTAAGAATTTGCTCGACAACATGAGATGAAGCATGACCTAGCCTATGGTGCCACAAGGATGCAGTAGGTTTGAAGGCGCTGAAAACTTCTTTATTCTGGATGGGCTTCAAAGGGTAAAGCCCTCTCTCACATGGACCTCTAAGAAGCGTTTTCTTCGTGGCCTGTTCCTTAATAAGAAAATGATCGGGGTGAAACTCAAGAAAGGCATGATTATCACGTGCAAGACGATTAACAGAGAGCAAATTCTTGCTAGAATGAGGAACATGAAGAATGTTGTTTAGATGTAGATTACGCATGGGGGTTTGCAGAACACTATGACCAACATGATTAATTGTCATACCTGAACCACTGGCGGTATGAACCTGATCAGTGCCCTGATATCGATCCCGCACTGTGAGCTTCTCGAGTTCACCGGTGATGTGGTCCGTGGCGCCTGAATCCACATACCAATTTGTGTCTACGCCATAGGACATAGTGGTTGCGGAGGAGGCACTCTTTTGTGGAGGGCCGTGAACCGAGGCATCAAAGCGCTTGTAACAGCGATGCGCCTGATGTCCCTCGATGCCGCAGATCTGGCAGAAGACGCCATGCATGAAGTTGCGCCCACGCTCGCCACGACCGCGACCAGCATTGCGGCCGCCGCCACCGCGGCCAGAGCCGCCATTGCGCCCACCACCGCCGCCGCGACCACCGCGGTGGTTGTTGTTGGAGTAGCCACCACCGCCACGGCCGCCCTTTGTGGCAAGGTTGACAGAGGAGTGAGAGCCGCCATCGCGGATCTCACGGCGCTGTTCATGGCTCACCAGTTGAGCCTGGAGGTCCTGGAGGGAGATCGGTTCGGCACGATTGGAGACGCTGCCCACAACCGAATCAAACTCCTCCCCAAGGCCCATAAGGATGTATGAGACGACTTCATCGTCGTCCAGCTTCTTGCCCGCCGACGCCATCTCGTCGGCAAGACCCTTCATCTTGGTAAAATACTCCGCCACCGTGGACGAGCCTTTGGTCGCTGTGGCGAGCGCCATCCTGGTGGACATGATCCGGGCGCGGGACTGCGACGCCTGCAGTGCCTGGATCGCGGCCCAGAGATCAGCCGCGGTGGTCGAGGTAGCCACCTGGGAGAAGACATCCTTGGACAGGGAGGAGAAGAGGTAGCTTCGGACTTGACTGTCCTTAGCGAACCACTCCTCGTGTTCCGGATTTGGTTCCGGGTCCGTCTTCTTGCCGGCAGGGTCGACGGCGAGGAATTCCGGTGGAGGCTTGGAGGTGGACTTGGTGAAGCTCCACAGCCGCGCACCTTGAAGGGTCGCAGTAACCTGGGCAAGCCACATAGTGTAGTTGCCGCGGGTGAGCTTCTCCGTCACGGGAGGAAGAAGACCGAAGGAGAACGGCACAGCGGCATCGGAGGAGGTCGCCATGGATCGATCTATCCGTGAGGAGTTTTTAGGCTGCTGATACCATGTGAAAACTAGGAGGAACGAGATAGCCTTCCTTAGGCCTCTCGGTACATGTTATATACGGCAGAGAATAGCCCTCTGCATGGCGTTTACACAGGAGGTTGTTACAACAAACTCTGAGTCATAGTTATCCTATTCTATGATTTACAATCCCGGCCTCAACAACCTGAGCCGGTGGTCACGGTACAAAGTACCTGAACTAATCCTATCATCTAACAATACAAAGATCCTAACAACCAATCTGCTAACTTTAAAGACTAACAAACCAAGATAATTCTCCTTCCTAAACACTCGGAAGGAATAACTAAACAGCGAGCTCCTGGGCGACGCGGCTGCGGCGTGCCTCGGGTGGTGACCGCGCTCTGGCGTGACCCGACGCGGCCCACCCTTCAGCCACTTGCCTTGCCACGGCGCTGATAAACCTTACCGACCATAACAGGCCAGGTGCGACGTGATCGACGGGAAAACAAAGAAGAAAGGCCCCCACGGCCGCAAGACATGCTAGAGGAAAAAGAAAGGAGCCAAATCGCGATTGGGAGAGCTTATCCACGCCGGTTAAAAGTGAGAAGACGGCGGTTTTACGCAACCCGAAAAGATGCTAAACGAGCTTATCGAGTTCTTAGAGATGATGTCCTTTTTTTTGTGATCACAGCCAAATCTGGTTCTAGAATGGTTTATTGGCACTTCTTGGAGTTGCTTTTAGTTTTAAGCACCCCAATGATCGCATCATGATTCAAGATGGACGGCGATGAGAAGAACGCAATGTATGAGCCTCATAGCACCACCTTGTTCATCATGATCATGCCACTAGATGTTCTCGGTGAATCTCACGACACTTTGAATCGTGACACACAATAATAACAAAGAGATAACTGAGCGGCCGGATTTGGACAAATGAAGAAGAAATGGTCCAGATTGCCAAAAAAAACCGACATGAATTAGGAGCAGGGATAAAACCAGAACGAACGGACATTAATACTTAATATGAGTAGTTGTTTCTTTCTAAAATTCAGAGTCATATAGGATAGTATCGCATGCATCAAATACTCCCTCCATCTAGAAAAACATGCAATTCTAGGAGAGTGTCATGGTTTAGTATCTCAAATTTGATTAATTATAGATAAAAAATATCAATATTTATGATATCCAATAAACATCATTAGATTAATTATGAAATATATTTTCTTAATAAATTAATTTGGAGTTATAAATGTGAATAATATTCACTAAAAATTTAGTCAAACGTAAACTAATTTTGCTGACATGCAACCCATAGTTGCATGTTTTCTTGACAGAGGGAGTATTAATTAATTGATATATATTCCATATACATATCAGAAATCTAACTTGAAGCATTTAGATTCGGACACTGTACAGATATTAAGGCCCCGTTTGGCAGGGCTTCACTTCACTAGTGAAGCCATTTTTTTGGCTTCAGCTCCACGAACAGCTCCACCGGTGGAGCTGAAGCGGTTTTGGTAAACCGTTTGGCAAAATGGCTTCCCTGTGAGAGCATGTTTTTAGGGGCCTGGAGGAGGAGCCGGGAGAAGCCACTATTTTTGGCTCCTTCCCACCCCAAAGCTCTGTGAGAGCACGTTTTTAGGGGCTTCATCGGTGGAGCCGTTTCATTTTACCCCGTTTAGCAGAAAACGGCTCCAAACGGCTCCTGAAGCCGCTGGAGAAGCCCTGCCAAACGGGGCCTAAGTACTCCCAAAATACTTGACCTTTTCTAGTTCATGTTTAAAGAAGCCGGACCCAGTTTTCTTCCTTCTACATTATGCTGTAGTACCCAACAGTGCTACGCAGGGTGTGTTTGGTTTCCTAACCAACTTCTAGCCTGGCTAGAATCATAGCCTGGGCAGTCTTAACCTGCTCCTACCAAATCAGCCCCTGATTGTTTGGTTGTCTGTACTGTGATAGCCTAGTTGGACTCAGGGTGTGTTTGGTTGGCTGGTTTATTTTGATATAATCACCTCTCCACCCTGTTGATAAGGTTACCTCTTCGAGAGAACTCGCCCTCCGTTCTACGTACATACAGGATACACACCAAAGCAAAACAAGAAAGAACGGGACCGAACGAGCCTGCACGAACTCTGAATCCCAGTTGAGCTAGCTAACATCAATCTTTCGTTCTCTGAATCTCTCAGTTAACTTGGAAGTGGTGAATTGAACACACATTTCGATTCAGCAGCAAGCACTGAGATAGAATGGGGGAGCCCAAGCCCACCAGGGAGAGGAGGCTAACTACTGACAGCATGTTCGGGAGGCCGTATCGTATCGTGGATTATTTACTGCTGGCTGGTTTGGTGTGAGAGAAAAATACTGTTGCCGACTGAAAATTTACGATCGTTTACGAGCCAGCGAACATGTTCACAACTGAATCATCTGTAAAAAAAATGTGTTCTCGTGCTCTTCAACGCCGCGTCTCTCAACTACCATCGGATTCAGAACCAACAGGTGAAACAGGGAGCGTGGCTGTGCTGTGTCGTCCATACCGTACGTCGAGGTAGCGGTGGCCGGCCTGCTGCAGCTCGTAGGCGACGCGCACCGGCACCGACCGTGGCACCGTCGACACCGCCGGCTCGGCGTCCTCGGAGCGCAGCGTCTCCGCGCCGCCGACGCCGACTCACCTGACGCTAACCAATCGTGGCGTCCTCCTCTTGGCGTTGGTGGCTGGCGTGGGCACCGCAGCCCTGGCCGCCGTGGCCGCGAGCCGAGCAGGAGCAGGAGCTCGCGCAGCGCCACCTCCGTACCATAGGATGGGGATTGGAGGATACGGCCAGTACCCGCCGCCGCATCCCCTCCCGGCCGCCCTCGGCGACGGCGGCCGCCGCAGTGTAGATCACCGACGTCCTCTCGTACTCGCCCGTGCCCCGGTTGACCAGCTTGTACAGCACCGCGCTCGAATCCCCTTCCCCGCGGGCGGGCGAACACGCGGAGGAGCTCACGGTCCTCTTCGGCAATCCGCAGTGGCCCGCGCAGCATCGTCACCGCCACTGCAGTCACAACTGCGCGCCGCCCCCTCACGGCGGCCTCCATGGACGCCGCCGGTGGCCGCCCGAGCCCCGCGCCAATCTGCTGCACCAGCGTGGAAACTACTACTGTGTACCGCTTTCCGCCGTTCGACCTGGAGGACCTGCTGCGCGCGTCGGCGGTGGTGCTGAGCAAGGGCGCGTTCGGGACGGCGTACAAGGCATGAGATCGGGAGGACGGGAGGTAACGGAACTCGCGTCGGATGCTGGCTCGGGCCAGGCTCCACAAAAACGACCAGATTGAGCGTTCTTCGAGGGGCAGGCTATGGTGGTACGGTTGGCCAGAGGTAGCCAGGCTTCACCCTACTTACGAGCAATCAAACAGGCCAAAACTGCAGTTAGGCACCCAACCAAACATACCATAGTGTTTTGAGAGCCGAAACTTGAGCACCCTCTAAACAGGCCCTTAGATTAGTTATTTTTAAATTGCTTGTGTAATTTATAAGTTGAGTTTGCAGTATGTGCATTTAGATTAGTCATGAGATTATTTGGAAAACATGAACCTACAAACACACACAAAAAAAACTCCAAACTTTCACGTTTCAAAAAGAAAAATCTCCAAACTTTTAAGTCAGAGCTCAGAACATCATTGAACGCCATTTTACACATCAAAGTTACAATCCAAGGGCATTAAGTACGGGTCCGCATGTCTGTCTCATCTAGGAAGAATTAGGCAAAATAGACATGCACATAACAAGAAGATATACGCAACTGGGTTGATCTGGCCTACTAAGGCTTTGTCTAGATCTAGAGTATAAAATTTTGAGGTGTTACATTGATATTAAATGGGGGTGTCGCATGGAGTGTTCAGATACTAATAAAAAATAAATTACATAATCCGTCAGTAAACCGTGAGACGAATTTATTAAGCCTAATTAATACATCATTAATACATGTGTTACTGTAGCACCACATTGTCAAATCATGGATTAATTAGGCTTAAAAGATTCGTCTAGTAAAGTATTCGTAATCTATGCAATTAGTTATTTTTTAGTCTATATTTAATACTCCATGCATGTGTCCAAATATTTAATGTGATAGGGTGTAAAATTTTAGGGAGGAACTTAACCAGGCCTAACTGGAAATGAAAGCTAGACACCTTGAGTAAGCTGCACAGGAAAGGTTGCAGGACAAAAATAGCAGAGTAAACCAGGTCCAACAAAGTTGGCAGTACAAAGGTAGAACTGGGAAACAATACCTAGAGACAAAAGGCAGCATGCTTATTCAATTGGCAGATAAGTGTTTCCCCGGATGAAACTTATCAGACCCAAGTAGATAATCTTAACTTGGTACAACAAGTGGAGGAACTAAAAACAATCCCAAAGGAAGAAGCCAGCATTCTTAATGATATCAGTTGTCCGTGGCTCTTAGTTTCCTAATGTAATTAAGTGGCAGAAGATCTGTCTTCCAGCCTGTCAGGGCTTATCAGCCAGCCAACAGTGTTTTCCTCTCACAACAAATTAGCACCAGCCGAACTTATCAGCCCAAAAACCAACCAGCGAACAGGCTCCTTCAGCTTTAAGCTTCTATGGGGGGAAACTAAAACCTATACAGATCGAAAAGCATAGTCAGTGCCAAGGGGTATCATCTTACAAATGATTGAGAGGTAAAAAAAAAAGGCAAGTAAACATGAGATACAGGAAAAGACTAGCATATGAAATTTCACTTGACTAAACTGTACTGAACTGGAATATTCGAAAGCTGGAGTTGTGAACAGCTAAAATCGAGCTACAGTAGAAACCTTAATCAATTACTTCCCATGTTCAAGAACATGACATCTTCAGGACATGGAAGTCTTTGACATGCAGACTTGAATTTTACATAAATAAGTATCATGGTATACTATTGTGTTTTTGTTTTCGACATGCAATTGTGATTGCCACCTTTTAAGTAAAACATGTTTGCACAGAATTGTAAAATGAGTGACCAATCTAAACATTATTTTATATATTTATAGATGGAGGCATTATTTTCATTAGTTTTGAAGTAACATCTTCACTACAAACACAACTAGATGAAAATCAAGACATTAATTAGAGGCAGATAGCCCTTAATGCAGAATCCTAGATTACAAGGTGGATAGCAAAGCTGAGAAATTAAAGTAGTCAAATGGAAATGGATTTGGGTATCGCATCCTTGCATAGAACTCGTCTACTCTCATAACTGTTCAAACAGCACCTGGATACAGCTTTCTAAGATTGCGAAAACAGATTCAAGGGTCCAAAGTATGATAGTGGTTAACCCAACAATAAAAAAATGAAACAAGGAGGGAGACAGATAAAAATATTCTACTAAGACACTCATACCCTAGTGAGTGTGTGGGAGGGAGGGAGGGAGGGAGGCAGGTTGGGGGGAGAGACTCCCAATGAACAAAGAGGGGATTATAAACTGAACTTCTGAAAGTAACAGTTAGCACAACTTAGAAATTACATATACAGCTGGAGTTATTAAAAAACTGACACATGAACATATTTGTGTTATCGTAAGAAATAATTAACACATTATACTACTGCTCTGCCACAAAAAGAATAGTGCACATGTTTTCTTTCTCTCTAGCTGAGTTCGTTGACTTTCCTAAAGAAGTTTGGAGTTTCTTTGTTGCTTTCTCTGTCCCACATACAGAGGCAAACAATTGTAATATGGAAGCACGGTGAGTGAGTCTATGTGTACAAACACTTGTGAATAAAGTCGATCTTATGGTATTTTCCACTTCCCATCACAAAAATGCGGTGGAAGATTTTCATTTCTGTGAAAATGGTGTTAACGTGATGCCCTCTCAGGCTTACGGCTCCGTGTTAATATAGTTAGGAAGAGCCCCTAGCGTGGCTTGTACAACAAGTAGATACATCTCATCTCTATCTCTAACTACTTACAATCCAAGATTACAACAAACTAGAGTTATCCTATGGAGCCGCAACAACCTGACCGTGAGAAACAATCAACACGTGATCACCACACCAGACATAGTGGACTGAGTACCAGATATTTCAACACCCCCGTCAATCACAACGCACCTGTTAAGTTGAGATTGTTTCTGAACTTTACTGTCAACTTCTCAGGGAGTGCTTTAGTAAACCTGTCCGCTACTTGATCTGCTGTACTGATGAATCTGATATCAAGAAGCTTGGCTGCAACTTGTTCTCTCACAAAGTGATAATCAATTTCAATATGCTTTGTGCGTGCATGAAAAACAGGGTTAGCCGAAAGGTATTTAGCCCCAATATCATCACACCATAGACAAGCTGCTCGGGGATGTGGAATTCCTAACTCATCAAGTAACTTTTGAACCCACATTACCTCAGCAGTTGCATTTGCTAGTGACTTATATTCAGCTTCAGTACTTGACCGAGATATTGTCGCCTGTTTTCTAGCACACCACGATATCAGGTTGCAGCCAAGGAACACAGCGAAGCCCCCCGTGGATCGCCTATCATCAGGACACCCGGCCCAATCTGCATATGAAAAGGAGCTGACAAGCATAGAATTAGACTTACTAATTTTGATACCCAAACTGATAGTACCTTGTACATATCCCAGAATTCGCTTTACTGGTTCCCAGTGAATGGTGGTCGGAGAATGCAGAAATTGACACACTTTGTTAACCGAGAAGGATAGATCAGGTCGTGTCAAGGTAAGATATTGCAGTGTACCAACAATACTCCTATATCTTGTAGAATCTTCAGTTCCAAGTCGCATTCCACTAGTGACCGACAGCTTTTCAGTGGTACAAAGTGGCGTCTTGACAGGTTTACAAAGTTGCATGTTGACCCTTTGAAGGATTTCAGAGGCATACCGTTCTTGTGACATTAACAATTCACCATTCTTCCGTTGAACTTGTATACCCAAGAAATAATGCAGCTCTCCAAGATCCTTGATTGCAAAATCTTTTTCTAGATCCTAAAGCAACGCATTTACAGCTTCCTGTGAAGAACTAGCCACAATGATATCATCAACATAAACAAGCATAAAAATCACATGATTCCCTTTGCGATAAAAGAACAAAGAGGTGTCGGTCTTTGAGGGAACAAAACCGAGACTCTGTAACTTATTGCACAGGCGCAAATACCAAGCCCGAGGGTCTCGGGCTTGCTTGAGTCCATATAGAGCTTTTATCAAGCTTACACAATTAGTGTGGTTTGGATTTATCCTCATATCCCGGGGGCTGTTTCATGTAAACTTCTTCTTCAAGGAAACCGTGCAAGAAAGCATTTTGAACATCCAACTGCCTCAAACACCAGTTCCTTGACACAGCACGTGACAACACAAGATGAATTGTAGCTGCCTTAACCACAGGACTAAACGTATCTTCATAGTCAATGCCATATCTTTGTTTAAACCCCTTGGCTACCAGACGGGCCTTATACCTATCAATTTTCCCATCAAACCACCTCTTTATTTTGTACACCCATTTACAATCTATCACATTCTTCCCTTTCTAGGGTGGAACAAAGTGCCAAGTTTTATTTCTAAGCAATGCATCAAACTCCGCGTCCATAGCATGTTTCCAATTTTTATCAACTAAGGCATGTTCCAAAGTAGGTGATTCTTCAGAAGTGGTAGCTAACTGACTGTATCGAATAATCCCGTCAGTGCATGCTTTGGGTTTTCTGATACCTTGTTGGAGGCGGGTGACAGGCCGGTGTGATAAATTCGGAGGAGGCATAGCAGGCGCCACAGGATCAGATGTCGCAGAAAATCCCAGCGGCAACACCTAAGGGCTCGACGCAGGGGATCTCGCGCCAGGCACTCCCGGCGTAGAAGATCCAGGCTGCGCAGGCACCAAGGTAGATGTGCCAGCCGCCTGTCCCCCCGTCGTCGAAGGCGGAGTGCGGATCAGCGGGACAAATGGCGCGCGCGGAGAGGTGCCGCCGCGTCCCAACGCAGAGGCATGCAGCGTGGTCGGAGGCGGCTGATCCGAGGTGGATTCTGTAGGGGAATCAGCAGGAGCGGCAGGCGTATCATCATGGGGATCCGCACCTATCCCTGCCAAAAAAGGAAGGCCACCGG